AACTTTCTGTCTTCATTCTCAATGTTGCTGTTGAAAAATCTGATGTCAGTTTAATTCTAGTTATTTTATAGAAAACTTTTAGGGTTTTCTTTTTGAGATACATTCATGTTGATATATTTAGTTCTAGTTCTTCATTTTATATAACTTATATATAGTATTCCATTTTACAAATAAATCAGTTTGCCCATTTTTCTCTTAGGGAATATTTGTTTTCGTTCCTATGTTTTGCTACTATATGCATTGCTGCAATGAATATGTCTTGTACATATGCAGTGGCTAGATGACAGGATAATGCCCATCTTCAGAGTTACTAGATATTTCCAGTTTACTCTCAAACGTTTATATTATACCCACGTTTAGAATAGAAAAACACTTATTGCTGTACATGGTTACCAACTCTTGGTTTTATTAGACTAAATTTTTTGCCAGTCTCATGGATGTGAAGTGGTTTCTCATTTTAATTTGTATTTCTTTGATCACTAATGAGGTCATTTATTTTACCATGTGTTTATTGGATATTCTGGATTCTCTTTAGTGAACTACCTGTTCATAAATCCTTTGCCCATTTTTCTTTTGGATGATTTGACCTTTTCCAAAAGGATAACCAGTTACCCCAGCATTATTTATTAATAGTCCATCCTGTTCCCCACTAAATTATAATGTGAGCATAAACCATATGCCATGTATATAATTACTGTGCCTCAGTTTCAATCCCTTTGTTCTGTTTGTCTATCCCTGTACCATACTATTGCTTTATGTCTTCCTGTCTGGTAACACCAGTCTTATTCTCCTTACTATTAAAAATAGTTAAAAGACTATTATTTTACAGTGCTTCCATAAGAATTTTAAAGTCAGATTGTCAAATTCCATGGGAAGAAATCTCTCTCGGGGGGTTTGTTTATTTCACTGCACTGAATTAACTTGGGAAAAATTGAGATCATTATGATATTGAGTCTTCACATAAAAGAGCATTCTCTGTTTGCCTTCTGAATTTACTAATTCTATTCTTTGTGTCCTTCATGTTTTTCATCCATTTTTCTCTACCTTTTGGCTAATTTTCTCTGAATCATCTGGTTCTTCAATTCTCTCTCTAGCTCTAATCTATTACTTCAACTAAGGTTTTATTTTAATGACTATATGATTCAAACTTCAGATCTTTATAATTTCCTTATGGTTTGTTTTGTCTGTTGTCTTTAAGCTTGAAGATCTTTTAGAATTATCTCAGTAGAAATTTCCTCTTATATTTTGGTCTGCAATTTATTAGCTTTGATTTCTCTGTACAGGTGATTATATTTGTTTTCTGTTTTATAGGAATTGCTCAGATTTTTCCCCACTGACTGAAGGACTGATGCTCTAGCCTTCTTGCTTTCAGTACCATGATTCCATTAACAGTTTCTTAAATTTAAGACCATATCTCTCTATTATTATATTATTATTACTACTACTACTATTACCTTTGGTAATAATCATTTGTTTTTTGGCATCTATTAGACTAGTCTTATAATTTCCTTCTTTGACTTGTTTAGTATTATTTGTATTGCTAATGAATGACTATCTTGCATTAAAATATATATTTTAAATTATATTTAAAAGTTTGTCTATCTTTACAGATTGGATTATTTTATGGGTTTTTTGTATTAACTTTATAAAGTTTGGCATCTAGATTTTGCTAGCTTCATAAAATGAATTTGGAAGATTTTAAATAATTGATAATATATTTTCTTTAAAGATTTTATAGAAACTAATCATTTAATAATTTGTACCTGATACCTTTTTGTTGGGAGGAGGGAGCCAGTGGCTATAGTTTTTTGTGCCATTGCTTCCCTTCAGTTCCTTCCATAGCAGTTTTTCTGCATTTACATTTTAACACAGGCATCTTCTGAGCTAGGCTTTTTTCTTTTCTTTTTTTTTTTTTAATTTAACATTTTTTCGCAGAGGAAATTTTACTATTTGTAATGCCACTACTAGAAACGATCAATTGTTAATTGCCTGGTTGTAATTTCTGTGTTCTGTTGAAGAGATCAAAATAGGACAGGAAATTTGATACCTTTCTTGAATATTTTTTTTTTGTTTTTAATTCTTTCATTTCTCTTTTAGGATTGTTGTAATAGATTTTCTTGTTTTTCTAAGAAGGCATTTTAAGGCCAAAACTATATACCTACTGTTAGCTTTACAATATCTTATTCTACTTTTCATATCTCAATTTTAAAAGTATTACTCAAAGTTCTTTCTCTTAGTTTCCTGGGAAACTCTGAATGAGTTTTCTCTCCCAGGCATCTTTAATTTCAACTAGGGATCATAGTGATTTTTCTTTACTCTTTGGATATAAAATTACTTTTGTTTAGGGAGTTAAGAAATCAGACTTCCAGACTATTCATGGTTCGGCCCTGCCCTACCTAACCTCTCTAAACAATTTCTACTCCCCAGCAGGAAAATCTCATTCTAATCTCTGCAGTCTCCACGTTTCCCCCATATTCATGCCCCAACTCTAATCTTTATTTTATTTTCCCTCTGTCTCTCCCCCATCCCTTGGGGGAGTGGTTCTTTATTCTAACTGCACGTGAATTTTATCTGTGGAGCTTTAAAAAAAAAAGTCTGTTAGTAATAGAGTCTTTAATTTACTGAATTGGAAAGAATCATTGAACAGGAGTAATTTTTTTCTCTTATCCTATTCTGGAGACACCTTAAATCTTAGCTCCAGCTGTTAGGACTAAGATACCAAGATAAGCAATGAGAGGATAAAAGATGAATAAAACATGTTTCTGGTCGCAAAGTAGTTAATAAATATAAAAAACAATAAATTTTAGGATATCAAATTCTTACAATAAAGCAGTTCTGCCTGGGTTGTCAATAAACTCATTATAGAGGGAATTTGTCTTAGGTGAAGAGACTGTAGGAAAAACAAGAATGGGGGGAGGGGCATAAGTAGATCAGAAATTAGTTTTTAAACATGTTAAATTTGAGATACCTGTTAGTTTTCTTAGCAGAGATATTGAGCACCAGAGTGAGATTTAAAATTTAGGCTTTATCGGTCCATATTTGACATATAAAGCCAGAAGATTGGACAAGCTCACCTGCCTGGGGAGTAAGTGTAGCTAGAGAAAAAAATACATCTGCTACTCTTTTGGGGATATGAGAAATTAGCCAGGGAGTCACAAAGGAAAATATTACAATATCTGACTATAGCAAAAAATTTTGAAAATTTTATCATTGCTGCTTAAACTTTAATATGAATTATTTCTTTAAAGTTTAGTAGGTTTGAGATGGGGCCTGAGATTCTCCTACTCTAAAAAAACTTCCAGAAGATTATGCTGCATCTGGCCTATGGACCACACTTTGAGTAGCAAGACTTTATATGACAAAAGAGACCTAAAGTGAAAAACAAGGAAAGACTGCAACATTTGTAGGAGAATAAGGGTTAATATTTAGAATATTCAGAGTTAAGGATATCTATAAATCAACAAGAGAAAAATAGAAGGGAAAAACAATATGGGTAGGGAATTTTTCAAAAGAAAATTTAAATGGCCAATAAACATGAAAAATGCTCAGCTTTCTAGGAAATACAAATTAAAACAACAAGATCACCTTTTTACTTCAGAATGGCAAAAGTTTAGAAGTTTCATAATACCCAGTGTTGGTGGGATTGTGAGGAAAAGGGTGGACGCACATCCTGGGAGCAGGAGTATGACTTGGTACTTTTTTTTTTTTGGAAGACCATTTGGCATATTTATTAAATTTTTAAATGTACATATCCTTCAATCTAGGAATCCTTTGCCTTGATATCTAAAAGGGCATCTTGGACTTTTGCCCTGAGAACTATTCATTGAAACATTGTTTGAGTTTGAGGAAAATTGAATAATTTAAATGCTGTCTAGTAAGGAAATTATTAAATAAGCCAGGAGTCCTGAAATCTCTTTGCTTATTTATTCCTCCTTGTACATTTTAAATTTTCTCACATTTTTTTATTATAATTTTAAGTAGTTCAAAAGGCCATAATTTCTATCGTGTATTATATTTATGTTAAATACATTTTTTGTTCACACATTAAAATGGAAGATGTAGATTATTCAATTTAAAAGAGAGTAATCTACCACATCATGTAATTTGCAAAGCAGGTTCTCAAACCACTCAGATAAATTTGCCTCATTTTTCATCAAGAAAAAAAAAAATAGGACTTACATTTATCTTAAAATAAACACATAATATGCACCTGTATTACAATCACCAGACTTCTGAATTCTAGGCTGGCTGACTGGATAAGTGGATAAAGCTTGAAGCCTTGCCAAGAATTTGATTCATTGATAAAATACAGTCTTACTCTTAATTTTCCCCTGCATTTCTCTCAGGGGATTTTCTCTTGTTTGTTAGGTACTTTGGAGTTTATTCCTAAAATTATTCATGTCCACCTAACCTTAGGTTACCATTGAAGTTTGAAGATCATTTAAATAAGCAGTGTCATAACAATATTATGAAATGAATGTATCTATACTTAATATAACCATTTAAGAGGATACATATATAACCATTTAAAAAGGAATAAAATACATATGTATTGACGTGGAAAGAATTCTGAGGCATGTTGTACAGTGGGGGGGGAAGCAAGTGTTAAAATGTTTTTATATATATTTCTTTATATTGTGTGTATTTGTGTATTTTATATATATATATATGTATGTATGTGTGTATGTATGTATGTATGTATGGTTTTTTCCCTAACGATAAACAGCACTTACCTTTTTGGCAGGGGCCAAGAATGTGGGGAAGGTGAAAAGAGATTTTTGTTTATTCTGAATAGTCATGTTTGTATTACTAGTCTAGGAAAAAACTGTAAAATGTTTAATAAAAGGGAAAAACCACTATACTAAATGATCTTTAAGTTTTCTAAGCTCTAAGTTCAAGGATCTGTGGCAGTTACTGCAATATTTTAATAAAAATCTTGAAGTATTTCTAATTCCTTTCCTAAATGGTTTTTATTTAAATTGTTTTAAAATATTTTTTAGGTGTGGAATATCAAACAAATGATTAAGTTGACACAGGAACATATAGAGGCACTATTGGACAAATTTGGTGGGGAGCATAATCCACCATCAATATATCTGGAGGTAAGCTTTTGAGTATTATATCTGTAGTAATTTTGAAAAGAAAATGAACATATAAAAAATATTTATACTGATAATACAAGTTATTTTAGAGGGTGGGATTAGAAATAATGGGAAGAGAATTCACTTTGTCTTTATCATGCTTGTTAATCTTGTTTCACTTGTTACAATAAATATGTAGTATTTTGTAATTTGAGAATGTCAAAATTAAGAATAAGTATATAAACTTCAAAATTTTAGTCTGGTAAAAAAAGAAACACACAAAAAAATCAAAAAACCTTATTTAAAAAAAGAGAGAGTAGAAAGCATTGTGTTCCAGAGGTTAGCAAACTAATTACCATATTTAAAAATGGGGAGAATTTTGTAAAATATCTTTTTTCCAGAGCAGATCTCCCCCAAATTGGTTTTTCTTCCTTACAGGTAAAATGTACAATGTTTAAATAGCACAAAATTACTTAGCCTTACTATTTAATAGTGCCTTGAGGCTTTTGTATCAAGCCTTGAGTATCCTAAATTTATAGGGCTAGTCATTGTTCTTAATCTTCTGAGGTAGTAGTCACTATTCTAATCACAGATAAGCTTTCTTGGCATTAGTTTCCTTTATGTAAGTCACTCAGGTTCCACAGCGAGCAACCTGTTATGGAATTCAGGCAGTCAGGCTCCACAGCCTATACTGCTTACCACTGCACTATTCTGCCTGTCGCTGTAAAAGCTGGCTCCACTATAATTACTAGTCATACAGGGATATAACCCTAAATTACAAATGATCAGGTTACCATTTGCCTTCAAATGACAGAGACTTTTAGGCACAGATTGATGGACTCTTAAACTAAATTTCTAATTTAATGAGCTAATGTAATTATTTTTTAAAGAGCAAGTTAAATCTTCTGTATTTCATGAGAAAGTTTGCATTTCTAAAATAAATTTGGAAGTTTGGAAATATGCTAATATACTATTCTCTTCATGTGGCTTTTCCCAGAGCATACTGCCAATTAATATTAGTGCTAGGAGTAGAATTTACACCTCTGAATACTAGTTAGTGTGCTTTCTAATATCCCATGCTATCTGTTTTACTTGCATGTATGAGGAGGACAAGCAAAGGAGTCATAAGGAGGCAAATAGTCCTGGGGAAAATAGTAATTCTTTGTTAATCAGAATTAGACAACTGAACCAGCAGGGTCTTTTTGCCAACCGTTTTTCTGTCCTGGGAGACATGTAATACATTTGCATCAGTAACCAAGTCTCACTATAGCAGGGATTCACTGCCTCCTCCACACACACATCCTTCAGGCTTTTTAGTGTTCTAATTACATTTTACTAGGACAGTGTACAGCAGACGATATCTTATAGGTTATATCATTAGCATGTAGATTCTTATTTTCATGACCAACACTATACAATTTGTCTGTAGAAGACAGTATAATATAGTGGTTAAGATGAACCATGGAGTCACATAGACCCTGTGTTTGAATCCTAGCTGTGCCTTAGTCTGCACACAGGTTACCTAACCTCCCTTTATCTCACCTCAGATTGGTAAAATGGGAATGATATCACACATGTGGCAATTTAAGGATTGAGTTTATAATATGAAAGAGCATAGTTCCTGAGATATTAAGTGCTCCAATAATTCAACCGTTACTTGAGTGCCTGCTAACATTTATACTTTCCTAGGCTCTGGGATTTAGCAACTTAAAAAAAAAACACACACAAAAATCTCCATCTTTAAGCAGCTTGTATTTTAATCAGAAGAGAGGATTACAGACAATAAACATATAAATGAGTTAAAACATTGAACTTACTGTCATTTGATATATTATGAAGAGAGGAGCCTGGCTGGAGATGACAGTATTCTTCCCTGCAGAAAGCAGACCCAAGGAAAAGACCTGTGGTTACTGATATTTGAAATCCCTTTAGTGAAAAGCCAGGTCTACTGATTACCTACTGAGACCCACCATTGTCCTTTCTGTCTCTGAATTTGACTACGTTAGGGACCTTATAGAAAATGGAATTATAAAATATTTGTTCTTTTGTGACTGACTTATTTCACTTAACCATAATGTCTTCAAGGTTCATCCATGTTTATCATGTGCAGAGTTTTCTTCCTTTTAATGTTGAATAATATTTTATTATATGTATAAAGGGGGCAAAAGTAGGTTTACAGTTATTCATATGGAAAATAATATAATAATTAAATAATAATATAAGAATAAACTGTTTTGTGTTCGCCAGTTTAGCTCAGTGGTTAGTGTCGGCTCTCAGACTGAAGGGTCCGGGTTCGATTCCTGATAAGGGCACGTACCTGGGTTGCAGGCTCCATCCTTGGCCCTGGTCGGGATGCGTGTGAGAGGCAACCAATCGATGTGTCTCTCTCACATCAATGTCTCTCCCTCCCCTTCTACTCTCTCTAAAAAGCAATGGAAAAAAATATCCTCTGGTGAGGATTAAAAAAAAAAAAAAGAATAAACTGTTTAACATACAACTATAAACCACCCCAAGCCCCATATACCACATTTTATTTATCATTGGATAAACATCCACCTTTTGGTTATTATAAATAATGCTATAATAAACACAGGTGTACAAATACTTGTTTGAGTTCTGATTTTACTTCTTTGGGTATATAACTGAAAGTGGGATTAACTGAATCATGTGGTAATTCTATATTTAACTTTTTAAGGAATTGCCATACTGTTTTCTACAGCAGCTGCATTTTACATTCCCACTAGCAATACATAAGAGTTCTAGTTACTCCACATACTTGCCCAAACTTATTTTCTGTGTGGTTGTGTGTGTTTTTTAAATGGAATAGCTATCCTTATGAGTGTGAAGTTGTATCTTGTGGTTTTGATTTGCACTTCCCTGATAACTAATGATGCTGAGCATCTTTTCGTGTGGTTATTGGCCATTTGTATTCAAGTCTCCTGCCCATTTTTTAATTGAGTTGTGTGTTGTTGAGTTGTAGGAGTTCTTTATATATTCTGAATATATATCCTGAATATCAATCCTAATCAGATAGATAATTTTCAAATATTTTCTTCCATTCTGTGGGTTCCCCCTTCACTCTGTTGATAGTGTCTTCTGATACTCAGAAGTTTTTTATTTTGATGAATCTATCTATTTTTGCTCATGTTGCCTATGTCTTTGGTGTCATATCCAAGAAACCATGGCCAAATTCAATATCATTAAGTTTATTCCTGTGTTTTCTTCTAAGAGTTTTATAGTTTTAGTTCTTATGTTTAGGTCTTTGATATATTTTGCGTTAACTTTTGTGTATGGTGTAAGAAGAGTCCAGCTTTTGCATTGCATATCCAGTTTTCCCAGTACCATTTGTTGAAAAGTCCCTTTTCAAAATGAAAATTTTGATAAATGCCTTTGTCAAAGGCCATTTAACCATATATGTGAGAATTTATTTCTGGGCTCCCTATTCCACTCTCTGTATGTCTAACTTTATGCCAGTACCACACTGATTTGATGACTGTATTGAAAGCTAAGTTTTGAAATCAAGAAGTATGAAACCTCCAAGTTTACTCTTTTTCAAGATTGTTTTAGCTATTTGGGATCCCTTGAGATTCCACATGAATTTTAGGATGGATTTTTCTATTTCTGCAAACATACTGGGATTTTGATAAGGGTTTCATTGAATCTATAGATTGCTTTGGGTAGTATTGACATGTTAAGAGTCTTTAACTTTTAAATATGAATGGACATCTAAGAATAACCAGATATTTGAAGAAAGTTTTTAACAGGAAAGATAACAGCAGAAATGGTTGAAAGGTACTCAGAAACAGTGCGCAGAGCAGAAGAAAACTATAATTAACATCAGAGATAGGAGAAGACATAGCAATCTGTTCTTGGCTGTGCTGAAGAAGCAGGAGCCCTGGCTGGTGGGCTCAGTTGGTTGGAGTGTCATCCCGTGCACCAAAAGGTTGCGGGTAAGATTCCGTCAGGGCACATACCTAGGTTGTGGGTTCAGTCCCAGGCTGGGGTGCGTACAAGAGGCAGCCAATCAAAAAACGTATCCTCGGGCAAGGATTAAAAAAGGGAAGCACAAAGTAATAGAAAATCAGCTACCCTACATGTAAGGCTTTATTTCTGGACTCTTAATTCTGTCGTCTTGTTCTCTGTGTGTATCCTTATACTGGTTCCACATGTCCTGATTACTATAGCTTTATGGTAACTTCTGAAGTTAGGAAATGTGAGTCCTCTAACTTGGTCCTTCTTCAAAATTGCTTTGTTATTCCGAGTCCTTTGCGCTTCCATGTAAATTTAAGATCAGTTTGTCTATTTCTGTAAAAATGCCAACTGAGATTTTGATAAGGATTGTATTGAATCTGTAGATCAATTTGAGAATTGATCAATTTAATAATATTATGTGGTTTCCATTTTTGATTTTTTGATTTTTTTTTTTACTTCAAAAATAAATGACATGATTTGTGCACTCAACTTACAGTTTAGTAGAGTTGTGTCAAGAATTCGGCTAACATGGTAATAGTAATAACCATAACAAGAATTTCTAGTGCTACTTATTGTGACTAATAAAAATATTTATTGGGCTTTTGCTATGTGGTAGGCTCTGTAATAATTTTATTATTTGTATATCTCATTTAATCCTCAAAATATTTCACAAGTGAGGAAAAAATAGCCATATAAAAAAGACTATGGCCTGGCCGGGCGTGGCTCAGCGGTTGAACGTCGACCTGGGATCCAGGCTATCAGGGTTCAATTCCCAGTTGGGGCACATGCTGGGTTGCAGGCTCGATCCCCAGTCAGGGGCATGCAGGAGGCAGCTGATCAATGACTCTCTCATCATTGATGTTTCCATCTCTCTCTCTCCTCTTTTCCTCTCTCTGAAATCAATAAAGATATATTTTAAAAATAAATAAATACTACAAAAGAACTATATAGTGTAGCTCTGGATCTTGAAGGTAGTGTGGAAATAAATACCTTTAGAGATAAGAACTATAAAAACTTTAAGGGAAGAATGTTAAAAGAGTAATCGACATCCACACTAAATTCAACCAGGGTAATGGGGCGAAAGGAGCCAAGCACGGCACAAAACAAGGTAGGCAAGTGCCGTGGTAGATTGCAGCTGTGACAGTGGAAAGAGGTAGAGTAAGTAAGTGTTTGTACTTAAAAGGAAGAGGGGCTGATAAATGCAGTGAAGTAATAGTTTGTAATCCACAATGGAGGGAACAGTATCTTTTCAAAAATTAAGGATAACATTTTGATAAATAACATTCAGAAGTTTTGTTTACATTTATTACTTTTCCTAAGGCTAACTTTGTGTAGTGAATGTGCTGCCCAATAAATATGAGTATTTGATCAATGCAAGGAGGAACTTTTGTCTCCCAGACTGCATGTTTACAATCTTCAAAGGGTAGGAATTGCATTGGTCTTTATTTTTGTGGTCTGAGCCCCAACAGTGCCAGGGACATGTTTGCTCAATATGTATTTATTGAAGTCTCAATCAGTGGAGACTGATATTGAAAGAACCACCCTTAAATAATTAGCCCTTGGGACTGAAATTGGTATAAAAATACAGCTCAGAAAATTTGAATTGATTTGGTACTTATGCCCGGGAATACTACGAAACATTTCAGGGTCAGGGTAGGGCACCTAGTAGGTTGTAAAGGAGGCTGTTTATTTCAGTAAGTAGCTCATTTTATTATTTTCTCCTCTTCCTCCCCCCCCCCCAAAATTCTATGGTAAGATCTAGCATACCAGGTGTGGCCTTTTCTGAAATGAAATTGTTCCCTCCTTCTTGTCTGCCTTTGATAATTCTTCCTTGCTTGTAGAAGGAAGTTCAGGCTTTATGTCATGGTATATATATTCTCTATAATCTGGTCTCTTACTCACTTTTTCAGTCTTACTGTTTGTTTTCCTGTGTTCCTAGTCTTCATTTAAATTCCACAGATATATATTGATCCCTTACTGTGTCCTAGCTATTGTATGATATTCAGCTATACTGGTCTATAGTTTTTCCTCTGTGTCTTAAAATTTCTACCTCCTTTGTTACACAATTTATCTTCTACACAGTACTCTCTTCTCCACTTATTCCATCCATTTAAATGCTAACCTTTTAAGATTCCCTCCTTCCTCGTTCTTGTATCAAGAATGTTGTTTATTTCTCACATACTTACACAAATAAAAATACATCATCTGCTTCTCAGCAGCCCAATAATGAACTCCTTGAGAGATGAGAACTGCCATTTCTAAATATTTTATTCCCCCTGTAGCCTTTCATAAATGTTTGTAGTACTGCATCTATTTGGGGTGTGAGGGAGGAATGGTTTGAGGGACGGTGATTACCACTGCCTTAAAGAACTATGGACATGTATATTTCAGTTCATTCCATCTCTTTATTTTCAATATCATTCTGTTTTCAAGATTTTTCTTACTTTTAGAATGTGATATATGTGGTCATTTGTCTTTATAGCCTTAGTTAAAATGGACAGTGGTCCCAGAATTTCTTAACTGCAGTGTGTAAGCCACCTTTTCAAATAAAATTTTATTCTCTAAGCAGTATTTGATGAGGAAGGAGGTCATCAGAGATTCATAGTGAGAATAAGGCATTTTAACTGATAGCTCTTTGAGAAAGAATACAGCAGTTATACATCTTCTAAGCCCATTGAAGAGGTTTTGGTGGTAATGGTGAGATCTGGCACTGTGTTGAGTCTTGTTTTTTTTACAAATCTAATACTTCATCTCCTTTTCAACTTGCTTGTTCTTTGAGCAGGAGGAGAGGAGTGTGAAATTTTATATGCCTACAACTTTTGGGGGGAAAAACAATTTTAATGAAGAGGGTACTTATCCTTGATGTACATAGTATTTCATACTATCTTCTTTTATTAATACTCATAGATATTCTAGGCATCTCTTCTATATATGTGTATCAGTTTCTTGATGTAATATTGTATCTTATAACAAAAGATTTATCAATTTAAAGATAAAAGTATTCATTTACAATACTTCCAGTGCTTATTTTGTAACTTATAACTTAAAACCCTGTTAGCTAAATTATAAAGGGATTATAAACAAGGACTTAAATTTTACATTTCCTTTTGTTACTTTCAGGAAAAAGTCCAGATTCAATGTAAGTCTACTTTATTTTATAGGCCTATGAAGAATACACCAGCAAGCTAGATGCCCTCCAACAAAGAGAACAACAGTTATTGGAATCCCTGGGGAATGGAACTGATTTTTCTGTTTCTAGCTCTGCATCAACGGACACCGTTACATCTTCTTCCTCTTCTAGCCTTTCAGTGCTACCTTCATCTCTTTCAGTTTTTCAAAATCCCACAGATGTGTCACGGAGCAACCCTAAGTCACCACAAAAACCTATTGTTAGAGTCTTCCTGCCCAACAAACAGAGGACAGTGGTGAGTCAGCTTTTAATGTCATCATTGCCTTTTCTTTGTATTTTTCATAAAGACCAGTTGTTGAAAATGAAATTTGTTATACTTCATACTCGGTGATCAAGCAAATGGAAGCATCTATTTCAAACAAGGGAGGAAAAGATAATTATTTGGTGCCAAAGTCTGGTTCCTTAACTGTAACAAATAGTATTGTTTTTAGTGTCAGATTTGACATTTAAACCTACCTATCAAACTTGAAACACACTCAAGTACTAGTTCAGAATCAATCAGAATTTTAAGACTAGTGCTTGCTTGTTGTCTAACATCTATCAGGTAAAATTCATTCTTCACTCTTGAGAAATCTCTATTTGGATTTATTTTTCCTCTTGTTTACATAACTTGATTGTTGGTTATTAGTATCACCATTGGAACAGAGTATTCTGTAAGTAACATTCAGAGCAGAAAAATCTGCAGAATTATTTTGGATGGTCTGTAATCCTCAAGTGCAAAGAGTACTGTCAGTAGACTTAGTAAATAATGCACCTGTATACATCACTACTTTTTGTAATATATATGGTTGCTTTTGATATTGACAAAAAACATTTCATTTCCAAATACAACTAGGGTCAAAGTAATTTTTAATTATTTTTCTCAGACAGCATCAGTAATAATGCTTGTTTTTCATGGAAAAATTTGCTCGCCTGTGCTATAGTCACCTCCAGTGGGGCCAGTTTTTCACCCTGTGACACAAAGGGATGTGAGGGTCAATGTGTGGGAACACAAGACTGGGCCTTCAGCCAGTGTCACAGACATAGTTGGGACTCAGATCTTTACATGAAGCTGAGTCTTGAAGAGCATTACCTTCAGCAAAAGGGTGAACTGGAAGAAAATTGATTTCACGGCATACATAAACAACAGTGAAACTTATCTGTCTTTGCCAGAGCTCCACATAAAGGTTGAAGATTACCCTGTGTACTCTTAACTGTAGACCTTGTTAGATACATGATTTGAAAATATTTTCTCCTGTTCTGTAGACCTTTTCCTTCTGTTGACTGTGTTCTTTGATTGACATAGGTTTTTAATTTTGATTTAGCCCAATTTCTCGATTTTTATGTTGTTTGTGATTTTGCAGTCCTATCCGGGAAACCACTGCCAAATCCAGTGTTGTGACATTTTCCCCTCTAAATTTTCTTCTGAGAGTATTAGCTTTAGTTCTTACATTACATCTTTGAGCCATTTGAAATAGCACATGTTCACAAAAGCATTGCAAGTATTGGTTTGGGTGTTACAAATAAATTTTAGCAGGTAGGCAAATCACAGATGCAGAATGCATAAATAAAGAGGGTCAACTGTACCAATCCAGTCTTGTGCATACTTCCAATGATGAGCCTACTCCTTCACGAGAAACTTTTCCCTTGCTGGGTAGTTTTAATGGTTATATTCAGCTAAATTTGTCATTCTACTTTTTTCTAATCATAGGTCCTAATTTGGCTTTCAGGATTGATCCCCCTTCAGTATACTATTTAAATCCAGCTGTGTTATATCTACCCTTACTGCATGTTGCCCCTCTACCATAAAGATTCCCAGTTTCTTTGGAAACTTTTGTTTTGCTAAATACTTCAGTGATTTAAAAGAATGGAACCTAATGGGGGACATCTGTAATACTCTCAACAATAAATTTTTTAAAAATTAAAAAAAAAGAATGGAATCTTTAATTTTATTGTTATTAACTAACAAATCCCTTGTCTCCAGTCCCCCTGCACCCCTGCTCCCACCATTAAAACTGCCCAACCTGAACTACCACTACCTAAGTTTAGTCCACATTGTATTTGTCACTTCTTTTTCAGTTTTAAATTATTCAAATTCACCACTGGTTGGGGTCCATGCGGAAAAGGCCAAAATGGGTGACTCAAAATATACAGGAAGATTCTTTTTTTATCTCTTTCCAATGGGCCTTCCCTCCCCATTCCCAGTGTCTTTTCTACTTCTCCCCAGGTTAGCTTCATTCGGTATCCAGATTTTACCAGTGAAGTGGGAAAGATAACCACTGGGGGCTTCAGATTTCTGTCTGCTTGGCACACTAACTATAGTAGAAAGAGGAGCTTCTCTCAACCAGTGTCCATCTCTCAGTTTAGGGAAGAACTATGGTAGTATTGGGGTCATATATCTAGTCCTGGATCAGTTCTTATTGCCAGGGACATGGAACACAGCCAGCATATGTATAGCTGGAAAAGTAATGACCCTGATTGAGAGCCTCTCCTACTAGAATTTTTAGGGAAGGGCGGGTTCCCCAAGGAAATAGGGGTGCTAGGCAACTCAACAACAAATATCAATTATACACATTAAGAAAAGTTTGGATTTTTTCCTTCTATGTTTAGGATCAGTAATACATCTCTTAAGGACCATCAGTGTGATTGAAGGATTACACAGTTTTTAGCTTTGAACAATGTTTGATCAAAATTGATTTTGTGCCCAGCTGGCCTGATTCAGTGGTTGAGCATCAACCCTTGAACCAGGAGATCACCGTTCGATCCCTGTTCCGGGCATATGCCCAGGTTGCAGTTTCAATCCCCAGTAGGGGGCATGCAGGAGGTGGCCAATTAATGATTCTCTCGTCATTGATGTTTCTCTCTCTCCTTCTCCCTTCTTCTCTGAAATCAGTAAACAAACAAAAAAAAACCTGTAAAGTGTTTAAAAATCTTTTTTTTTTTTCATTGGTTTTGCTTTAAATGTTAACACCTCTTGTTCTTCAGTGGCGAGTACATGGGGATCTGTTAAATTCTCTATTTCTTTTTTTTTTCTTTTTTTATATATATATATCTTTATTGATTTCAGAGAGGGGTTGAGAGACATAGAAACATCAATGATGAGAGAGTCGTCATTGATCAGCTGCCTCCTGCATGTCCCCAACCAAGCCCGCAACCCAGGCATGTGCCCTGACTGGGAATCGAACCGCAATCTCCTGGATCCTAGGCTGATGCTCAACCCCTGAGCCATTCCCACAGCTGGGCTATTTCTTCTGTATGTTTAAAATATTTTATAATTTTAATAAACTAAAATTCATTTTGTTTTAAGTTGGTGAGTAATAATAGATACTTGTCATAATTTCCCTTTACTATTAAGTTAGCTGTAGAAATGATGTTGTATCTAACATGGTAATCCATGTAACATTAAAGGTATTATATATTATGAAGGTAAGTTATTTTTAAAAAAGTGATGTGTGCCCAGTAGGGCGTGGCTCAGCAGTTGAGCATCGAGCTAGGATCCAGGAGATTGCATTTTGATTCCTGGTCAGGGCACATGCCCCGGTTGCGGGCTCTGTCCCCAGTCGGAGGTGTGCAGGAGGCAGCCAATCAATGACGACTCTCTCATAGTTGATGTTTCTCTCCCTCTCCTCTCCCTTCCTCCCTCTGAAATCAATAAAGATATAGTTAAAAAAAAAAAAAAGTGATATGAAAAACGTAATTTATTTCCTTTACCTCATATTATGCATTTATGATACTGTAGGTCCCTGCAAGGTGTGGAGTTACAGTCCGGGACAGTCTAAAGAAAGCCTTGATGATGAGAGGTCTAATCCCAGAATGCTGTGCTGTTTACAGAATTCAGGATGGGTATGGTTTGTATGTGATGTGAAATTTTGTTTAAAAAACAAAACAAACTCAGACATTAAACTTTGGGGTTTTTTTCTAGGATCTTTACCTAAACCAAGGAAATTGAAAATCAGCTTTAGAAAACAATATTAAATTTTTAAGTTTAGCCTAAAGAAATCTTGTAGGCCTTTTGAGGAGTTAATGTTAGATAATTTTGTGTGTGACAGTAGTGGTACTCTGATCAAGTTATTTTATTTGGAATAGGTGATTCTTAAAATTTTTCAACCATTAGAATGTGACTTATTTGAATAGTGGACTCATTGCCATGCCCCTATTTTAAATACAAACTCATGTTTTCACAAAAGGCTTATCAAATTAACATTTTATAGTGAACTGTTTTTCTTTTAGAAAGCATCTAAAATTATGCCAAGACACCGCCCATTCCCAGTTTTGAATCCTGTTTTTAAAATTTTCCTTTTTTGGGGCATGTTTTCCCTTGAGTGCTCTTTTTCTTTGGATAGACATACCCATGCCTGGGTTTTTGGTTTTTTTTTTTTGATGCCAGGAACAATCCATTTTCTGCTGTTGTAGGTCTTTTCTGGAGCTGACTTGAAGACAACAGTACATCTCTTTACCCTGCTGTTTGTCCAAGAGTGATACATTTATTTGGGGTAAACTTAAAAATTAATTTATTGCCACTTAAATTTCTAACGATGGAAGACCAGGGAGCCAAACCTCCCTCATCATTACTAGCCCCTCAATAACCAATTTTCATATCTTCAGCATGAGGCATATGAAGATTTTTAGGTATGATTACCAAGAAAGGCTTGTGATTACACTTTTCAGAGAGAAGAAGCCAATTGGTTGGGACACTGATATTTCTTGGCTTACTGGAGAGGAATTGCATGTAGAAGTATTGGAGAATGTTCCACTTACAACACACAACTTTGTATGTACCTTTCCATTTTTTTGAAATGTCAAAAATATTTATGTCGTGAATGAATTTTTATTTAGGAAATATGGGTGAATAATTTGGGGATCAATACTTTACCTAAGTTAAAAATCAGTTCTGTTCTTTACAAAATTTTAATTTAAACTAAAGAGTTTTACTTTAGTCATTATACTTTCTTTTGAATTTAAAAAAGCAATACATGCTTGTTATTAAAAGAAAATTTAAATGGTTCAAAAAGTATACCAAGTAAAAAAGTGAAAATACTATACTAGAGGTAAACTAGCGTTAGTCAAATTAATTTGTTATTGTGTAGTCTTCCAAATTTTTTCTTTATATACAGACGTGTATGCTTACACCTGTGAGCCTAAGGTTTTCTCCTTTCTCTTTCCCCCTCTTTTCTCTTCATTATTTCCCATTTCTTTCCTTTTCTTAAACTAAAAATGGAGCCTTGTTCTTTGTGATATTCGTTACCTTAAAAAAATTCAGCAGTACATCATGGACATCTTTTCATGTCAGTACACCTAGTTTTATTTTTATAATGATTGCATAATAGTCTGTAAGAGTAGTGTAAATTCAGTATATTTAACCAACCCTCTAGTAATAGACATTTAGGTGTTTTTAAAAAATCTATTACATAGAGGCCTAAACAGAATCTTTCTGCATACATCTTGGCATACTTACATAAATTTTTCTGAAGGATAGGTCAGTGGAACAGCTCTCTTTGAGGACTGAAAGAAGATGCTAAAACTCTCCTTGAGGACTTCTCCCTTTGGTTTTTGCATTTGCTAGAACCTAGCCTAAGCTAAATGTCACCAGCATGAAGCCTGCAAGTGAGACCTCTCTGCCTTACAGATGAGGACACAGTTACCAGAGCTTGAGGTCTTGTCCTGTAAAAGGGTAGGCAAAAGCCAGGATTAGAATGATCTATAAGACAGGAATGATATTCTTACTTATCTATATATGTGGAATTTTAACCATAGTTTATTTCTTTTCTAAATAGATAGTTATTGCTAGCATTTTGGCGTCAGGTGTTTTCCCCTGTGCCTTGGTGATTAGTACAGCTGGGCTCTTAAAGCAGATGATGGCATGATTTCCCAGGAGGGTACTTTTGGGGCTCCATTAGTGGTGAGTGATGAAATCAGGTGTCTCAGTAATTAAGACACCCTCTGGACAAGTGTAGAGTACACCTAATATCAGTCAGATTTACTGTGTAGCAAATAGCTGTAGAGTGATGAACTAGGATGTTCATTACTGTTGAGTTTTTTAACTCCATGTAGAATTTCGAGTGGTGAGTTTTTAGGAATCCAAAAACAGTTGAACTTACATTTCATAGTGATTACTACTCTTTTTCTTAATTATTATTCTTAACTAGAAATCGGATATGGGGAGGTGAAAGAAGACCTAAGTTACTAATCAGAAAATTGTATTGAAACAAGTGCCTCAGGAAGGTCCTGGCCATAAGAATGTAATGAAGGCAAACTGCAGGTTAGTTCCAGAGTGTAGAAATCCTTTCAGCACAGTTGGAGACCTTCCAGTAAATGTTGAAAACCTCCCATTTGCCAACACTGTTTCTGATCTGGGAATATAACAGTTAACAACAAAAACAGGATCCTGGCCTTTGAGTAGAGATGATTTAGTAGGAAATTTTCATAACACTTGTAATTACCGTGTATGCATAAAGCGCTGTAGATGCACAGAGTAGTCTCCTAACCTGGCCTTTGAGGAGTCAGGAAGTTTCCCAGTGAAGACTAAGCCAAGGACTAATGGGTGAGGGAATAGCAGATGAAGAGTGAAGGGAAGAGTACTCAAGACAGTAAACAGCAAGAAAACATGTTACCTTTTCAGTTTTAAAAACACATTCAGAATGGATGGTAAAAAGTTGGGGGAGGGGGATGTTACAGAGTAGCAAGAATTATGGGTAGAGTAAGCAGAGCCAGGTTCATGACAGTCCTCATAAGCCATGCTAAAGATTTGGACTTTTCTGTAAAAGAATTGGAAATTCAATAATTGTGAGCAGGGGAGAAGTGTGATTAGATATGCATTTTAGAACAGTTACTCTGTGTGCCATGTAGAGGCAGGAGCCTGTACTCACTTTGCGTTGCTGCTGGATTTTTCTGGCCTCTCAAGGAACGCTGCTGATGCATTATGGTTTCATAGAGTCTGTTATAAAAGCAATTCCTTCAGTATTTTGTCTACATCCCAGGAGTCCTTGAGAACGGGTGGGGTGAAGCAGGGAAGGGAAGATAGGGAAACAAGATTTGAAATGAATGTCATTTGTCTAGCCCTTCCCATTTTCTATAGGCACACAGGTTAATAATGTCTTCCTTCAGACAGCCCCACACCTTACAAATTGATGCATGCAAATTGCCGGTCTACACCTCCCATTAATTTATGATCTATGTCTTGATATGCTCAAATTCAGAATAAGCCTAAATTGTGATGCAAGATAAGATACACCTTCCTGTGCTCACCTTTATTGACAAAGGTATACTCGCAAATACAAGTACAGGGTGGGGCAAAAGTAGGTCTACAATTGTCAGTATGTGAGTTTATTCTTGTATTTATTAATTATTGTATTTTCCATATCTACAGACCTACTTTTGCCCCACCCTTTATATGTCATTTGCAGTTTATACTAAAGTGCATACGCGTGCTTTCTACTCTTAGATATTTTTCTTCTCTCTGTTTCCCTCCCTTCTTTCCTTGTCTTTCTCTTTTTTTTCTCCTTTACATATACAAACAACCAGTTACACATAGTTTTCAAGTGTACATCAGTGACAGGAAGAAAGACTGCAATTGAGGAAATTAATTCAGGAAGATAAATTAGGGTTTCATGATACAGATTATCAGGAGAGTGAAGGTATGAGTGCTTAGCAAAGAGGATCAGATGGCTATAAAACGCTTATTCCTGTGCAGACGTTTCATATTTTTCAGTGCTCTATTTCCTGAAATTATGCTAGCAGTATAAAAGACTCTTGACTATGGCAAATAGTGGTCACATTAATATTAAAGATCTCTTCATTTCTTGTATATCCAGAGACAAATGGAAAAGGAACAAAGCTAAAAACAAGCAGTTGCCTTTTTAAATCCCCTAGAAAGTGATAATAGAAAAAAAGATGAAGAAAACAAGAGCCATTTTTTTAAACTACTTAAATATTCTCAAAAGCCAGAGTGCCAAGATACCATTTTCTTGATGAAACATTTTTAAATAACTTTTTGTCTCGTTAAATATGTATTCATCGAGAAGGGTTTCATAACCTGTGGGTGTTGAGATCCGTTTAGTGACTCATGAAAAGCACTTACACGTAATAGGATAGAAAATTATATTGTGCATTACATGTAATCAGGGCAAGTATGTTACATGAATACAGATGTGTCCTGGGTCATAGTGTGAAATCTATTTCTTACTTCCAGTTTGTGTTAAAACTGTCTGAAAAGCAGATTAATTGAGAATATGCAGCAAAGAACAGCAGACAGCATAGAAGCCAACTGCGCTCACCACGCCGGAAAGCGCTGCTTCCGCGTGGTCTTTGTTTATCCTCCTCGTGGTTTCTGCTTGTTGTCCACACAAAACATGCTTTTCAAACAACTTCTAGCTTTGCTAGTTGTCAGGGTAGGGCCTCCCTTAAAAAAAAGATAGGTAGAGCCTTCCCAGCACAGTTCTGTTTTGTGGCCCATGTGGTAGATCAGTGATTTTCAGCCGGTGTGCCGAGGCACACTGGTGCTGGTGTGCAGCAAGAAGGTTTGAAACAGATGATACCTGACTCTCCAGTCAGGGGCACTGACCTCTTTTTCCCTTAGATTGTCAAATAAAAATGTGACAACAGCCAGCACAACAGTAGCCAGTGTAATTTAATCAAAATTATACCTATTTTTTGTCAGATCAGCGAAAAATACATTTTTTGGTGTGCTGCAGAATTTTAGTAATTAGTTTATGTGTGCCAGGTGAAAAAGGCTGCAAACCACTTTTGGAGATCATTTGCTTCTGATGTGGAGTTTTTGCATGTTGTCTTTTAAGTTTCACGTAGAGGGGTGTTCAGAAATGCATGTAGGTGTTCTAATCCTCTAACAAAATAACTTGTTAAAAGTCGTTCTTACTGGCTTTTAGGTTGTTTTCTTGCTCTTTATCCTAGTTAGTAAGTTTAGATAGGGTTGTTTTGATTTCCATAAAATTACAAATAGCTTTTTCTTTTATAACTATTAAGTGTTTTTACATTTAATCAGAGTGTATTTACATTTTAATCAAATGTATGTAGTTTTCTTTAGATATCATTTACTGATTACTGATTTCATTGGGAATTAGCTCATTCATGGTATTACAACCTTTCCTCCTCCTCCCCTCCTCCAATATGTTCTTTTTATTTTTGGGTTTTTGTGGCTCCTCTGTCAGATACCTTTGTGACTTTAGTGCTAGCATACCCTTGTTTCCTACTCTCTTAACACTAGTAAGCATCTCATAACTCCTTTCTTTGTACAATTATTAAATTGTACCCTTACCTTTCCTTTTACTTCTTCTGTTCCCTCCTTTTATCTAATCTCTACTTTTATTTTTATATAGTCAAGCTTGAAATTAGTTTTGAGTCTTTTATTCATTTCCCGTCAAGACTTCTGAGTTTTTAATTGGATATTGGGTGGGAGATAGTACATATTACTCTATCTACTATCTTGAACCCACTGGTTTTCATTTTAGTATCTTAATGTGTAAGGCAGTTCTCATGATATAAACATTAAAAATTTGTTGTTTTAAACAAGAGAGTAGATTAGTTGATTACTAAATAGATTCTCGCAAGTTTTGAAATCCTCTATGATGTTTTACATAAATCCTCATTTATGTTTTACTTTGCAGGTACGAAAAACTTTTTTCACCTTAGCATTTTGTGACTTTTGTCGAAAGCTGCTTTTCCAGGGTTTCCGCTGTCAAACATGTGGTTATAAATTTCACCAGCGTTGTAGTACAGAGGTGCCGCTGATGTGTGTTAATTATGACCAACTTGAGTAAGTAATCAAAAAAGATTTCTATCTACCATTTTACATTTAATTTTTCTGAATGTGTCCAGTAGAGTTGTTACAGGGAATTTTTTTTAAAGTGTGTCTAGAGAGTAATATGTAGTATAGCCTATGCTTTACTCCAAAATTGTACTTCTGATTCAGCTGCACATTTCATTTATGTTTTATATTCTCTTTCAATCAGTAAAGATCCCTTGTCCATAGAAATCACTTTTAGATAGTTTTTGGGAGGAGAGCAGGTGTTGTTTTGGTTAAGTTAACCATTATTATATTTTTGAACCATAGATCAAGGGATCTGATTCTGTCAGCTATTTTGTAAATTATGTTTCTTTCTCTTCTTTTCTCTCTCTTTCTCCTTTAACCCCACCTGCACCCCCACTTTATTTAAAAGTAAGATATAAAACCTTTGTACCTAGTGTATCTTTTTCTGAAATTTCTATTTGCTTTTTATGCTAGAATTTCTCTTAACAGGTTAGACTGAATCTGTTTTAATCTTTTTGTGTGTTGTTGCTGCTGCTGTTAAGGTCTTACTACTTTTCTTGAGCACTTGAGCAAACATAATTCAACTCCATATTTTAAAGAATATTATAATGATGTAATCTAACTTTGCAATAGTTATATTTTCTTCTAATTCCTTAACCATAGAGCATGATTTTTCCCTTTTGATACTTAGAAATTTGCTATATAGAACAATTAGTTTTAGACTCTGAGCTTGCCTTTGAAAGTACAATATAATTTTTAAAAATAAGCCTTTAGACAAAAACACAACTAATTGAATTTAACAGTCGTTTCTAAAACTGGAATATGATCTCAGATATTTCTGTTAACTCTGTAATGTATTCTGATGTATGAAGCTTCTGGGTTTTGCACAAGTTAGGTTTGTTTTGTTTTGTTTTTGTTTTTGCCTCACAGTTTGCTGTTTGTCTCCAAGTTTTTTGAACACCACCCAATACCACAGGAGGAGGCCTCCTTAGCCGAGACTGCCCTTACGTCTGGGTCATCCCCTTCCGCACCCCCCTCCGATTCTTTTGGGTATGATTTGACTTCTGCTGTTCAGTGACATGCTATTTGAGCTGGTTTCTTTTGAATCTTTGGTTTAATATAAGCTTTTCCAACATGTGGGTTGTTAAAAAGGGACTATTTCTCAGATAACTTATTTTATTTCACCAGTCAGGTATTTAACATGCATTTGGTACAGATATATGGGATTAAAGCTGACATAGACTGTTTCAGGACCAGTCTTGAAGAAAATCAAGCAACAGATAATTTAGAGTCCTTGCCTTGTGCTCATCACTTTATTAGGTAATATCAGATATAGAAGTACATGACTTCCATTTAGAAAAGTAGCATTAACACATGAGACAATGGCAAACAATTTAAAAATAGTATATAATTAAAATCTGTAGTTTATGATATAGTATTAAAACTATGTAATAAGGACAAATATTACCATGTTTATAGGAGAAGAGGATAGTGAGAGAGAGTAGTCAAAAGAATTTAATGAAGAACGTGGGATTTAAATTGGACTTTGAAGAATTCTAAAATCTGAATTAACCTGGGTAAGAAAAGCTTGGTGATCGGGAGGCAGGAATGGGGTGGGGCAGAAACAGCATAAATAAAGGGAATGGCAATGGTATATTTAGGAGATAGTGAAGAGAGCCTAATCTAAGTCAAGAAGAAGTATGTGTAAGACTAGATTATGGAGAGTCTAGGAATTTAAGCTGGAATTTACACTTGGTATAAAAAGGGAAAAAAGAATTAAAGTTTTTTGAGCAGAAGACTAACCTGATGACAGTGTCTTAAAGAAAAAAAATCAGCCCAGCTGGGCGTGGCTCAGCGATTGAGCATTGACCTAGGATCCAGGCGATCAGGGTTCGATTCCCGGTCAGGGCACATGCCCGAGTTACGGGCTGCAGCCGATCAATGACTCTCTTGTTGTTGATGTTTCTATCTCTCTTTCTCTCTCCCTCTCCTTTCCTCTCTCTGAAATCATTAAAGATATATTTAAAAAAAAAAAAAAAGAAAAAAATCACTTAACAGTGATATACAGATAGATTGATAGAGAAATGTCTATGGTAAAGAGGGCCACCTAGGATGCTGTTGGTTGTGACAACAGTGCGAAGCAATGAAGACTTGAACTGGAGTGATAGCAGCATAGAAGGAATGGATATTCATAAAGCGTAAAAAAAAATAATAGTGTTATTAATTTGTTGTGGAGGACAAAGGAGAGAACTCACTTTAAAGATGGTGCTAAGTCATCCACATAGTCAAGTTTCAGACTAGGGAAAAAAGAGGTGGTGATGAGTTTAGAAGATACTAGTTTGCTTTGAAGCATTTCTCAAACAGGTCTGTTTACTCTTTCCCTATGGGACTTGAGGAAGATAAATTATACTATGCCTGGAAGCATATGATTAAAACATGAAAAAGTTGCCCGGCTGGCATGGCTCAGTGGTTGAGCATTGACCTAGGATTCAGGAGATCGCAGTTTGATTCCCAGTCAGGGCACATGTCTGGGTTGTGGGCTCAATCCCCAGTGGGGGCCCTGTAGGAGGTAGCCAGTCAGTGAATCTCTCCCATCATTAATGTTTCTATCGCTCTCTCTCCCTCTCCCTTCCTCTCTCTGAAATCAATAAAAATAAATTTTAAAAAATGAAAAAAAAGTCTCCACACAGCATTCTGTTCTAGACTATTCTAGAGATAATTAATTAAAATCAAATATTTATTTTCCGTTTTTACCCTACTTCTCACTCTTCATAGTGTAATGCTATTTCTTTTTCCCAGAGAGAGAAAATAATAATAAGTTGACACTCCCAATAGACCTATAATTTTTATGAAGCCAGCCTTTCTGGAGGTTTCATAGACTAGAAAATTCAGCAAAAAACTTTTGTATTAAGGAGTGGATGTATTTACATATTTTGGACCACTAGAAAATGTAGCCGCTATGTTCTCTTAACAGGTTGTAACAATTACCCACTCTGGTGTAGTCATCTTATTCCTGCTGTATCATTATTTGTATGCAGCTGTGTATTTCTTAGGAGAACAAATCAAAGTGTTGTTATTTTGATTTTTAATTCATTCTTTGACTATGACTTTTACTCCTGATGGATTCTATAGACTGTGATGCCTTTCAGATGGCAGATCCCAGTTCTGTGAGCAGTTATAGAACATCATAATGAAATTAGCTTTGCCTCTCTGAAGGTTATTAATGGTAATGATCGGGACATTTGTTTAGCAGTGACAGGAATGCTAGCTGTAAATTAGGAAACCATTTGCCAAGATCCAAGATGGTGGTGGATTAAGTGGAAGCTACACTGACTCTCTCCTAGGACCATACTGGAATTACCACTAAAATATAGAAAAACCACCCTGAGTAATCAACTGCAACTGAAGACTAGCTGGAGAGCACCCTCATAACCAAGGATGAAAAGTGGAGACCACATAGAGACTGGTAGGAAGTGTGAAGGTGCGAGAGGGCTGGCCAGGCTCCCATAGGCAGCAGCTGAAGGTCCGGAGGGATATCTCACCTATGGGGGGGCTCCCACTGAGAACTCTGGGGTCTAAACCCCAAGCTGGGCTCCCCAGCCCAGAGCACCAGAACTGAGAAAGGTGCCCACATAACATTTGGCTGTGAAAGCAGCAGGATTTCTCTCTGCCAGGGAGAGATGGCTGGAAATACAGGCACCCTCTTAAAGGGTCAGCACACAAAGTTTCGTGTGCAGACATTCATCTTGAGCTCTGGTGGAGGGAAGCCAGAGTGGACTAGAGCAGTGTGAGGAGAATCCAGGGGGCCTGGCTGGGGGAATAGATCTCAGAGGGTACCCATCTGAACCCTGGTGCTGAGTTATTCCCCCATAAGGCAGAGGACATCTTTCTCAGGCAGACTTTTACTTTCTAAGCAGCTTTTGCCTGGAGGAGAAGCAGTTGTCCCACCCTGCTGGAAAACCTCTGGCCCCACCTTGTGGAGTTTCTACAGCCTGAGGCTCACTGAGAGACTGAATAACAGTCAGCCTCTGGATTCTTTGAGTCTTTGCCTGATTTGCTTCTGGACCCAGGGCTTGGAAAAGCAGACTTTGGTGCATATCTTGGTCCTGTCCAAACATACCCAGCCCTAGCAGAAGAAAACAGAAGCTGTGGAGTGTGGAAAATTTCAAACGGTGATACTCAAGGCCAGTCACAAACAGCGTCTGACCTTGGCCTGCACCAGAGACCATCCAAAAGACTGGCAATCCTAGCAGATCTACCTAATACGTAGAAACAACTCCAAAAAGGGAGCCAAAATCGGGAGACAAAAAAACAAGCCCCAAATGAAAGAACAAAAGAATTCTCCAGAAGAAGAGCTAAGCAAAATGGAGATAAGCAATCTGTCAGATATAGAGTTCAGAATACTAATCATAAGGATGCTGAACAGCATGGAAAAAGATACAGAAACTATGAAGGAAATTAAGAATGCCGTAGAAATTTTTAAAAAAATTGGAAGGAATGAAATAGCGGATTAGAGGAAGCTGAGGATCAGATCAGCAAATTAGAAGACAGGATAGAAAAAAATCAGAGAACCAAAAAGAAAAAACAATTGAAAAATAAGAGTAGAGTTTAAGGGAGCTGTGGGACAACATATAACGTAACAATATTAGCATCATAGGAGTGCCAGAGAGGTTGAAAGTAAGCAAGGGTTATAGATCCTGTTTGAAGAAATAATGGCAGAAAACTTCCCTAACGTGGTCAAGGAAAAGGTCACACAAGTTCAGGAGGCTCAGAGAGTTCCAAGCAAGAAGAACCCAAAGAGGCCCACGCCCAGACACATCATAATTCAAATGCCAAAAATTCAGGACAGACAGAATCTTAAAAGACAGCAAAAGAAAAGCAATCTGTTAGCCTGTGAGCTGATTTCTCATCAGAAATTCTACAGACCAGAAGGGAATGGCATGATGTATTCAAGGTAATGCAAAACAAGGATCTGAAACCAAGACTACTCTATCCAGCAAGGCTATCATTCAAAATAGATGGTGAAATAAAGAGCTTTCCAGACCAAAAAAAAGGGTAAAGGAATTTATCACCACCAAACCAGCATTGCAAGAAATGTTAAAGGGACTGCTCTAATAAGAAGTTGAAATAGAATGAGAAAATAGGCATAAAGAAATAAAATGACAATAGATAAGTACTTGTCAATAATAACCTTAAATATAAATGAATTAAATGTCCCAATCAAAAGACACAGAATAGCTGAATAAATAAGAAAAAAAGACCCAAATATATGCTGTCTACAAGAGACGCACCTCAGGACAAAATAGTCACACAGGCTGGAAAACAAAACAGAAAATCTTCTGGAGGACATTAAAGGAGAGATCAACAGCAATACAGTCATAGTAGGGGACTTTTTAACACCCCACTGACTTCACTGGATAGGTCTTCCAGACAAAAAATCAACAGGGAAACCGTGACTCTAAATGACACACTAGGTCAGGTGGATTTAATGGACATTTACAGAACATTCCACTCCAAAGCTGCAAAATAGGTATTCTCCTCAAGTGCACATGGGACATTCTCAAAGATAGACCACATGTTAGGATAGAAAACAAGTCTCTACAAGTTCAAGAAGATTGAAATCATATCAAGCATCTTCTTGGACATTTACACCTTGGAAAACTATGCAGCTGTAAAAATGAAGGATCCCTTACACTTTGAGACAGCATGATGGGACCTGGAGAGTATTATGCTAAGCGAAATAAGCCAGTCAGAGAAAGACAAACATCACATGATCTTACTCGTGGAATCTAATGAACAAAATAAAGCAATGAACAAAATAGATCCAGAGACATAGAAGCATAGAAGAGACTGACTAATCTCAGAGGGAAGGCGGGGATGGGGAGAGATTAACATAGTTTATATGCATATATGTGTAACCCAGGGACACAGACAGTGGGGTGAAGGCCTGGGGGGAGGGTATAGGGGGGAGGGAATCAATGGGAGGAAAGGGGGGCCATTATGCTTTCAACAATAAAGATAAAATTGAAAAAAAGAAACCATTTGCCTACGCCATAAGCACTTTATTCATAGCTAATCTGAAGTAGATTCTGGTCCTAAGCAAATGATGAGAAAGATGTTCAAACTTTTGTTTTCCTGATGCATTATTTTTAAATATGTTTTTTATTTCAGAGAGAGGAAGGGAGAGAGAGAAACATCAGTGATGAGAGTCATTGATCCACTGCCTCCTGCACACCCCCTACTGGGGATCGAGCCCGAAACCTGGGCATGTGTCCTGACCAGAATCAAACCGTGACCTCCTGTTTCATAGGTCAACACTCAACCACTGAGCCATGTAGGCTGGGCTTCCTGATACTTTTCTATTACAAATGTATATGTGTGCCTGTGAAAAGACAGGCACGAGTCCTATTCTTTATCAGAATTCCTTTGCATCTTGTTAATAGTCTGATAATAATCATGATGGTCATGAGAAACATAATAATAGATGTAACTAAGACATACTGGAGAAGTGATACATTGTCCAGTTTCGATAAAAAATTAGAGGTACCTACTTTTCTACTTTTAAAATATGCTTTGGGATGCGTAAGTTTGGAATGAAAAGTCAGCATTTAAAAATTTGCTGAACAGAGGTAGTCACTTTGCTTCAAAGCTTTTAATATTCTAGATTAAAAATGAGACCCAAACTGGTAATTTGCTGAAGGATGTTAGAGGTAAAAAATTCTTTTTATTTTTAATTTGGTACTGCTATAAAGAAGTTTGCAGCAAGATATAGAAATATCATGAGGTGAAAGCCAGTTTGCTGACTGCCAACATACTTCACAGGGTATAAATTGCCTTGGTTTGAGTAAAGAATTGACAGCATGGAAACTCAATTTTATCAGTCCCCAGAAATGATGAGAGTTAGGGATATACTGGTTTACATTAACCAGAATTAGAAAGCACGAATTTAGAATGCCAGGCAATTCATTTTAGTGAGAAATAAGCCTGTTGTGTAGACTAAACTTCTTATGTTGGATCGACCAACACTTACCCTGCTTTTGAGAGATATTAATGAGAAACCAAATTATAATCAAAAAATTGTTAAGGATGGAATTAGGCCATGGTTCAGATGTTTAATGACATCAGAATATAATAAGTGTTCTCTCAAATTATAATATACTTGCCCTGAAAGCTAGATAAATTGGCTTTGTGGAACAGCACATACCTTTCCCTGGGGGTTGTTAGATACCGACTGCCAAATCATAGTGTTTCTGACTTTGTGTAATAAGCAGATACCCTTTTTGTCTAATATATCCATTTTTTCTTTAGATATGATAGTAAAATTTATTAGATTAAATCCAGGTTTTTGTTTTTCTTCTGGACCAATGTCCTTTGCATACATATTTCTGATATAATATGCATTACATATTGCTGTCTTAATTCACTAAGTTTCAAGAATGAGTTGCTGTCACTTATGCCTACATCAAATTAGAGTATCTTGTAGTTAATTCAGACTTTTTCTATCTTCAAGTCCTACCTTAAAGTATGTTACTGCCTTGAGACTTCAAATCAGTCTATATAAAACAGTTTTTTTGTAATCTGCACTTTCCAAAACTTTTTTAAAAATTCTAATATTGTCATTTTTACATTCTTTTACCTGCTCCCAAATATTTTAGCAAAGGGTGTATATTTGGCTGCCTAGAGCAAAAATAAAGATGACTCTGTCACAAACTAAAACTTTCTCAACAGTCAGAATAAAAGGGCCAGTGGAGCATGCTAATTTTCCTAAAGGCCAGTTTTATCAGTCTTTGCCTACAGTTCTCATTGGGCTGATACCAGTTTTTTATAGTACTTATATTTTATTATTTGTATTTCACTTCTATGTGGATTCATTTAGTTAATATGAACAGATAAAGTGTATGTTTCTTTTCTTACCCTTAATAGTGTGGTTCAGAGAAGTAAAACTATAAACTGGTATGATTTAGACTTGTTAACATGCTCTATTCTTAAATTTTTTGTCACTATTTGGCTTCTTTGTCGCTTCAAAGCTTTATTTCTTTTCTACTATATTTTCTTCCTATTCTTCTCTAAACCCTCTCCCCTCACAAAATATATTTTTATCCCTACTACGTTGTATTTCTGGCTATGTCTTAATAACCACTAAGTAATACTGATTAATTACAGAGTTTGCATAAGATGGGGTAGAATGATAACTAGTCTCTAAAGAGAGGCCTTTAGCACGGAGTCACTTATTGGTCCTGATGGAGCTCACTAAGACAGCCATACCTTATCTTTCAAGTGATCCCCACTTCCCAGCTCCCTTGGCTATCTTTTCTGAGGGGCATAGACTCCTCAAAGCTATTACAGTCTACTGTCAAATCTTTAGTGTGCTCTGTGATTTATTTTAGGGACAGTGATGAGAGATCCTACACTTTGTTATTTATTTGCATTACCAAAATATAGACCTCTCTGTAACCTTATTTTGATGATTCATCAAAAAGCAATTTTTATAAATAATTTGCTTTAGTGCTTGTATGATTCTTATGTGTCTCTTGTGTCAGTTATTGGGCATGGCAAACATTTCAAAACATGAGCGACTGACGCTATAAGGATCAGGATCAGCTTTTGAATTTGGAAATGATCATTTGCTATTGTTCAGGATTTTAATTCACCTCTTGTGTAAAGTAACAGGTGTATCTTTCAGGTCCTGGAATACTCATGCGTATTCTCAAAATATTTATAATTGCCTAATTTTTTCCATAAAAATGTCATTTTGGTAACTTCAGCTATCAAGAAATGGCAAAGGTAGGAAAAATGGCAGATTTTATTCACTCAGTCTCTATCTAGAGCATTTTTGTGTAACTTTAAAGGACAAGAGTTTCTTCAGCTGATTAACCACAGGTAATTTCTAGACATTTGTAAATTTCCTGGGAGTTTTTCTGGATAAGAATCAGTGTTCTTATCATTGATAGTCCCTGGAGGGTCTGCTTCAGCAAAGCACTTTTGTCAGTAATAGTTGTAGGCATATATTAGTTTTTTAAACTAATACTTTTTAAAACCCATTCCTGCTCGGTTTTTAGTGCTTTATTTTAACAATTTTATTTGAGAATAGGAAAACAAGGAAACCTTTATATCATCAATTTTTTTAATGTTGTTATCTCTATAAAGTTGCTCTGAATCTTATCTTCAAATGACTTGATTTTTCCAGGCCCCAAATGCTCACCAGTCCGTCTCCTTCAAAATCCATTCCAATTCCACAGCCTTTCCGACCAGCAGATGAAGATCATCGAAATCAGTTTGGACAACGAGACCGGTCCTCATCAGCTCCAAATGTGCATATAAACACAATAGAACCTGTCAATATTGATGTAAGTATCCAGCATTATTAGAACTAAAAAATTCAAGTGTATTTATTTTTCTGCTACAGTTATAGTAGAAATCAGAAATAAGTGCTATCTTTCATTAATCACAGTGATAAGTGATAGACTCCTAAGAGTTCCAGATCAGAAAAGCCTTGCCATCTTCTCTGATGGCATTAAATGCTTAACTGGTACCAAGTTACAAACTTCTGATTTTTTTCCCCCTTATGACACCATCTGTAAAAGTCCTGTCTTCATTTAACAGATAATCCACATGGCAATTTTATGGTAAAGAAAAAAGTACAAATACAATTGCAAGTTTTTTCTTTAAATCAATTTGAAATCTTTACCTAAACTTCTAAAAGTACAACTTTGAGTTAAATAACCCTTCAGGACTAATCATTACTTTATGTATTTGACATGTAAAGCTGCCTTTTTTATCTCCTTTACTTTCTTGAATATACCATTGTATTCCATCTCTGTACACATCTTGAATTTGGGCATATTTTTTAATGTAAAGTTTGTCATGAAGTTTTAATCATTCCTTGTTTAAAATGCATCTTCTCTGGTCTTATCCTATATTGTAATCTCACCTCTTCAGTTATTTTGGCCACCTCTGGCTGGTCACTCTTGACATTTTTACTTTTCTAGTTTATCTTGCACACTGTAACTTAATTATGCACATTAGTGTCGCTTCATCAACTAGATCTTAACTTCTGTACAGCAGAAACCATTCCTAATATAGTTCATTTGGCACCTATATTAGAACTAAATAAATGATAGGTCATCAAAAAAATGCTCGTTTCAGTGAAAGAGTTAGGAAATAAAGCAGAGGAAATTCCCCATAATGTAGACCAGGGGTCAACAAACTTTTTCTTAAAGGGCCAGATAGTAAATATTTTAGGCTTGTGGGTCATATTTCTAATGCCATTGTAGTGTGAAAGCAACCATAGACAATGGATTATAAACAAATGGATGTGGCTATATTCCACTAAAATTTTATTTATAAGAACAGGTGGCCATCTCACTGTATTTTGCCAGTCCTCAATATAGACAAAGAAAGGAAGAGATGAGAAAAAAGATGAAACACACAGGATCAGTCCAAAAGAACTGGTTCATTTAATTGAGTCATCCTGGTAACTGAATCACATAGAACAGGATAAAAGTGTCCTGTCTGAGCTGTGGTGGGCTGGGATCCTTGGAATAATCTTGGAATTAGGTATTGTTTTCCAGAACTTGTGCTTTAGAATAAAGAGTATAGGTTATCCTTAATCTCTGTAATAAATAACAAAAATGAGAAAATTCACAAGGGTTTTCTTTGTTGTTTTGGAAAGTAATTATATTTAAAAAGGAAATTGAAACTGTTTCCGCATGTAAACAGGGTCCTGGAGTTAATAAGGTGGTTCTGATTATACAGGAATTCCTTACGTGAGTCCTCATAATTACAAGGTGGAGTAGAGAAGCAAAAATTTTCCTAACAGGAAAATATTCACTCATTAACAGAGTACTTTAATATTAGTTTCCACTCAAACATATCCCTTCCCATTTAATACCAGCCTACATTCCAAACCCTTTACATCAATATCCAACGTTTCAATGGAAATGTAATGCAAACTGATTGCAAATCTGGCACACAAAAAAAGAAAAAAGATTTTAAGGATTTTATGGAAACTGTAAAAAGTGACTTCAGAGAACTACTTAAATCATATAAAGCCATTGAGAAATACACAGAAATTAGTCCAGTTAATAACAGAAAACAGAAAATCCATAAGGATGACAGTGTAATAGGCTCTTCAGATGAAAATGATTTCAGTATCAAAGGATTAATAGAGGCCCTTGAGGGGTGAAGTACTCTAAAATTTTCACTTAAGTGATTATTATTGTGATGTAAAAGATGAACTCGAAATTAAGAATTTCAGTTTGTGCTATCATATAAGTTTGGTATTATGACCAACAAAAACTTGATTGTTTCTATGTTTATTCTAAGAATTAACATTTTTAAAATTATAACTTAAATTTTATTTAATGTAAAGGAAATATTCCGTATTGTAAATTTTAATTTCATTTTTAAAGATAAATTCCCAAATCTGACTTTCTTCCCACTTTTTACTATGAAATTTTTTCTGTATTTTTATTGGATTCATTTTAAGTAACTTTTTTCTAATATTAATATCTTCAACTAATAAGGTTTTCCTCAATTTAGAGATGTAGGAGAAGGGACTATAGGAATAAACAGTGAAATAAGAAATCAAATCTTATTTCTAGGTTATGTCTATTTTTAGATGTTCAAAATTATAACCTTCATCTTTACTTTCAAAATGAACATTCTTTTAGACCAACGATTTTCAATCCTTTTCACTTCATGGCACACTTAAGCTAATTACTAAAATTTCTGCGGCACACCAAAAAATATAATTTTTTGCTGATCTGACAAAAAAATAGATATAATTTTGATTAATTTCACTGGACAGCTACTGTTGTGTTGGTTGTTGTCATTTTTTTATTTGACAATCTAAGGGAAAAGAGGTCAGTGCCCCTGACTAAATAGTACAGTATTGCGTGTTTTAAAAAGTCTTGCGGCACTCTGGTTGAAAATCGCTTTTAGGCTCTTCCGTTTTCTCTCTCCTTGCCACCACTGAACTTCTATCCTCTAAGGCTTAAACATCTGGAGCACCGCCTTTGTATACTGCATTTTCGTCCTCCCCTTTAAGCAGGTAGTCATAAGGGGTCACCTTTTCCTCTTGATATGCATCTGAGATTTACTTTTTGGTTTTTTAATACGTTTTTATTGATTTCAGAGAGAGAAAGGGAGAGGGAGAGAGAAACATCAATGAGAATAATTGATCTGCTGCCTCCTGCACGCCCCCTACTGGGGACTGAGCCTGCAACCTGGCACGTTTCCCTGACCAGGAATCAAAACATGACCTCCAGATTCATGGGTCCATGCTGAACAACTGAGCCACACCGGTTGGACTGAGATTTGTTCTCATTACCATACCAGCTGGGCCCATATTTCTTCATTTGAACTACTCACTACATTAATCTCCTAAATGGACTTCCTGCGGTTGATTTCCCTTTTTCCATTTCTATTTTTTACACTACCACCATATTAATTTTTTACAACACCTCAATCATCTCTTTCCTTGTTCCAAAACTGTCGTTAACTTCCCATTAATTATAAGATAAAGTACAAACCCTTTAAGCATTTTCGTTCAGTGTCAAATAATTTCATTCCATTTCAGTTATTATTATTATTCCAGTAAACAAGATTTACTATTGACTCTGGGATAGACACTGTGTCAGAATTGGGAATTAAGGACAAATTAGCACACAATCTTTACCCTCAACAAAGTCATAATCTAATGGATGAATCAGATGTATAAATAAATATCACAAAAATATATAATGATGTTTATTGTAGGGGGTGATAAACTCTACCTGATTGGATCTAGGAATATTTAGCAGAGAAGGGACAACATTTAAGCCAGATTATAAAAGATGAATGAGTAGGAGTTTATTAATAAGCACTAGTTGGGGTTTTAGGAAGAAAATTTGTTAAGGAAATAGTATATGCAAAAGTAAAAGTACCTTTACACAGAAAGTTAGAGATTTTATATTTATTAGTAGCCATATAAGACTTAGCACCTTGTTTGCAGGTCTGTGAGAGCTTGTTGATATTCTGTAGAAAATGTTGAAGGCTTTATATAATACATTGAACATGATAGAAATGCATTTGTAAAGAATTCACTCTTTGTTTTAACCCATAAACAAAAAGCTGTCTATTTGCAAAAAGCCTCTGGGCCTATTTAGAGACATTTGGGGCCATTCAATCCCTCACATTTAAATTATCCTGTGGGTTAACACACTAAATCTAAGTTTTTCCTATTAAGCTCCAAATTGCATTGCATTGCCTTGCCAGAAGATTCTTTCCCTCACCCCTAACACTGTCTGTTGTAAAATGTAAAAAACTGTATTTTAATAATGAGCAATTTTAACAGAACCCTTGTTTGAGCCATTTTGGTTATTTTCCTTCTAGTGTTTCCTCACGTACCATATTTTTATGATTGTAATCAATTACATTTAATTTTGTATTCTGTTTTTTTAATTATATTGTAAATATGTTTCATGATTCAGTCTTCATAATTATTTTAGTAGCTGCATAATTATTAAATTTACACACCATAATTTACTTAGCAAATATAGAAATAAGCTTAGATGAGGGAAATAATTATTTCTGACTTTTTAGTATGAATGATAATGCTACAGTAAACATCTTTGTGCATATCATTGTTTTTCTTCTGAATTATTTCCTTAGGAAAAATTCCCAGAAGTGGAATTACAGGATCAAAGGGTATGAACATTTTATGGCTCTTAATATGTGCCAATAGAATTTTTTTTAAGAATTGATGCAGCCATTGGTTTTGAATGGCCTGAAGTGGATCTCAGCATTTGGTCAGGACTAATAATCCCTTCAATGTAGGGTTAGGTTGGCAAGTGCTTCACATTTTTATTTTATCACATTCACTAGCTAATTCCATATTTTTCTGTTTTGTGAAGTAATTATAAGACAGTTATTAACCTTTCTGTTAATGCTTAAAGGAAAATTCATTGTTATTACCACATGCTTTGAATAAAATATACATTACTATTTATTTGTAGGACTTGATTAGAGACCAAGGGTTTCGTAGTGATGGAGGTAAGTGGTGATTTCAGTTTTTAAAAACTCAGGGAAAAATGCAACTGCTTTGCTGCTTGTCTCCTTTATATTTGCTTCTTTCATGAAACACAGACACAGAGAAAAATGTGTAGAGAAAACCCAAATTTTTTTTTGTTTTTCTTTAGTATTATCTCTAATAAAATTTTAACTAATTTATAACATGAGTAGAGAAAAAGAAGACATAAAATGATTATGAAATGTACTACATATGGCTTTAAAAGGTTATCAAGGAGAGATTTTTAGTTATTTTACCCACTTTATTGATTCCAAACCATCTCCAAAGCTGAAAAGCAAAATTTTGGGGGGGAACCTCCACCAATACTTAAAGATTGAGCTTAGAATCAATTAAAACTTGATTTTCCTAAACCATTCTTGGAGAATCCCTTGGATTGTCTGTCACAACTTCTCAATTTGATAGATATTGTCAGCTACTTCCCTCAGCCTTATAAAAGGGTTTGAAATGTACATTTTACATAATAGACCCCTAATAGAAAAGCCCAGTTGCCTTTTTTTGTCCAGTAAATAAAATAAGCAAATGACAAATTAAACTGAGATTTCTTATAGAATTTTCATCCAACATTCACTCTAGCACCCAGTAAAAATAAGGGGCATAAGAAAACATTGCTTAAGAAAAATACTTTTTAGATGAGAATTTACCCCCACATAATGTTTCCCAAGAGATGGTATCTGAAACTATCTTAAAGTTTTCTTCTAGATGATTCTCCATGCTTACCTTTCAGCTGTCTTCTGTATGATAAGGAAGGCCTGCGATACGCGTGCTTATCTTGCTTAGAGTTGGTCTCTTCACTGTGACCCGCTTTATCTTCAAAATGTCTAAGCCCAGCCTCAAAGATACTTTATTGAACAAACTTTGTATAAACCATCTTTTGTTGTGTTTCTGTGTACCTGTGAAGCTACCAAAGTAATAACCCTGCATTATGTACTCTGGACTTCGTATTTGCTGTAGCACATAGTTATGAGAGTGGTTTTTGTTTGTTATCCATGAACCCTCCAATTAATGTTGCTGCCGGTTTGACTTTCATATGTCTTAGTAGCTGTGGCTTTTGAAAATTTTGCCCAATACATCCAGCATTTAAATGTTACCATCATTTTAGCATCACAAAGTTAACTTAGTCATAAAAACTGCCTGCTTAGTGCCTAAAATGAAGTGGCATTTCTTGTCCTTTTTTATGAGTCACTTTTGAAAAAATCATTGGGATTTTATGAAAATAAGCAGTTTTTTAAACATCCAGAATTATTTTGTGAAGCAGGCTTCGACTCATCTTATTTATTCCCCATGACTTCTTTCATTTCTTCTGTGTGTCTGTCTTCCTGTGTTTGCCTGCCCCTCTCTTTCTCTTCTAACAGCCCCTTTGAACCAACTGATGCGCTGTCTTCGGAAATACCAATCCCGGACTCCCAGTCCCCTCCTACATTCTGTCCCCAGTGAAATAGTGTTTGATTTTGAGCCTGGCCCAGTGTTCAGAGGTAGTTGGGCTCTTCTTTCTTGTTTCACCCAAAACAAACTAAATATAAACTACAGATACTGTTTGTGCCTCACCCTCACTGTGTGTGTTTGTAAGTGTGAGAGTTTTCAGTACTAAATTTCTGCTTGGCCTGGCTGGAATGCTCTGAATGTGCTTCTCACACATACTCACTACCACAAGCTTTCTGTATGCTGTCTGTCATAAAATTTAAAAGCAAAAAAAGTCTGAGATTTCCATCATATTTTTTGTTACATTACTTTTTGGTCTTGATAACATCTTAAACTCAGTGGGTGGTAATAAATAATGTGGGAGGGGGTGTCCTATTTGAATTCCTTTTATTTTAATCCATTTAAGTGGTCACCTTGATGACTGTTAATATTTGTTATCAATTTCTGTGATTTTTTAAAAAGTAAAAATGGAAATGAAAATCCCTATTATGAGATTTTACTAGAGTTTTGATTTTATTTTTCTGTAATAGCAACAGTGTCCTTTTTAAAATGTAGGGCATGTATATTTTATATTATCAAAGATAGGGAACTTTGAAAAGATTTTTCATATATTTGGTGTATTTTAGCATACTTAAAAATTTGAGAATTGATACTTTCAGTTATGCCTTAATTTGAGGAAAAAGTTAGCAATATAATTCCAATCTCTCATTTTATCTTAACATACTTTAATTAGTGGTTAAACTGATTTTTTAAAAATTTAAGTCAAAATTGAGACAGGAATTTGCTATCAATAGTTTTAAAGAGTTTACTGGCTTTTGCAAGTTAGTGCCTGTCACTTATTCTGTGCATAGTGGTGGTGTTTCCAATTTTTGCTCTCAGCCGAACTATTTCTCAGAAAATCCACAGAATGGGCTGGAAGTCACACAGGATCGAGTAGCATAATTTAAGTAATAGCATTCGAGTACTAAGTAGATCACAGCTGAGAAGCCTGGCAAGCAGTTAAGGCTTTATGATGTTGAAAATTATCAGTGGAAGGTAGAAAATGGGTTGTGCTCTAGTTAATAGACATTCCAGATACCATTTTCTTTTAGAAATTTCAATATAAGATTATGGAAATTCCACATGATAACATATGTAATGAAGTAATGAGAAGATTTTTACACAGATTTAACATTTAAATGTTGCCATTGGTATCCCTGTTCTTTGAAAGATAGTGACTGCCCCCCCCCAAGAATATTAGTCTTCTTTAAAAAAAAAACCATGAAGTCTTTTTGTTCTGTATGTGCAAATATTTTTTGACATCTCAGTCCTACTTAACTATAGTCAGGCCCCACTAGGAGTCTTTGCCCTGAACTTCTGTGAACCAGGCCCTACTGTGCATGAACTTAGAATTATTGCCACTGAGCCAGTATTTAGAAAAGTACCCATCAGAAAGGTATGCAACCTTGCCAACTGAGTCTACTTTCAGAGAATTGCACCCCTTAGGCTCAGTTGGCTGATAGAATGTTTCCATTTGTAGTAAATTGGCTGAGAAGCTGTATCACTTACTTTTTTCTCACTTATAAAGGCAGGGATTTTTCAGAGAGTCTTGAGAAACCTGGTGGCTTTGTATGCAGGCAACAAATAATCTTTGTTTAGTAGAATAAGCCTTCAGGAACTGATGAAACTGACCAGTATCTCTCACTCTTAAGTAGTATAGTGTGTGGTGTAGGATTTTTTTTTTTTTTTTTTTGTGGC